GAGAGAGAGAGAGAGCATATTGCTGCCTTTCGACCTCTTACATTTTCTCAACGAAAAAACGAGCACGTGGTTAAGATGGGGAACCTCGTATCTAATTCCGCATTTCTTCATGCGGAAAATTTAAATGTTGCCGTTAATTAAAGTCATTAAAATTGCATATTTGTTAGTTTTAACCTTAGTCTAAAGAAATTAAAAGTCTCGTGATCTTTTTGTCTTTCCATTGTAATAAAATTACACGCAAGATTGTTATACTTGTCGAAACGTTAATAATATATGTCTTGTTACATTCAATATAACTCTTTTATATATACACTTAATCGATGATATATCAATGTTGCTGTGCAATTGACTTTCATTGCCTCAATATTGAGCTCAGTAAGTCACATACGATATCGATTATATTGATGTTGCTAAGTAGTTGCGCTTTCAATATCTCAATATCAAGTCCGAGAAACGTCAAAGCAAATAATTATGGTGGAATATCGAAGGAATTACGATATACTGAAGAAATTACACGATATAGCATAAACGTCCACGCATATGTTATCATTCATATAAATATAATTATTTTCTGCTACGTATTTGATTGCGCAATAACAGCAAGTGGATATTACACTGATTAATTTTTTATTTTCGAAAGTAATATTTTATAAATTTTATTACAGATTTAATATTAAATTTATACAAATAAATTTTGAATAATGACTAATATTATACATGATCAATTAATATATTATATAAAGTAAATTGCTAATATTAATAATTTAGTGCTTGTTTTCAAGTTGTTATTATATTTAAAATAATGATACGGAAATACTTCTTGTCCCTGTCGAGAAACGTCTATCATCTAATAAAACTTCATTGTTGCAAACAGCATAACTTTTTTATAGATGTTCAATATTGTTGAGAATTCAATATGCTAGTAGTTATATATATGCATAAGGCATACCGATGAGTGAAATTTTCAGAGAAAGACTAGAGTGGATATCGGTATTGAATTGAGATGAAAATGTCAGGATGGTGTAAAAATTCCATCTGCCGAGCGATTGTAACAAATAACATTGCGACAGATTTTGCAAATGTCCCGTTAGAATACATATGTTTGTAATATTCAAATGTTTGCGAATTATTTTGACTGATCTATTCGCGAATTAATTAGTAAGAAAACTGAATCAATAAAGCAGTTTAATGCGATCTTTACTTTTCGAGTTACGGAACTGAAATTATTTAGTCGTTTATTATTAATTTGGTCAATTTGCTTATTTGCTTATTTATCTAAAAATGAGGCAGTGTTTCATAATGTCAGCATTCTCTTACCTCCACTTAAACTTTTTAACTGGGATACGATGAGAATTGGCGCGTTCCATATGAGACTGACAGTCCATACGAGAACAATCATTTTGTAAGCGTGAAACTGTGTCTGCCATCGTCTCGACTTTAATGGTCGACAAATGGCAAAATAGCGTTCGAGTGAAATGGCAACCAACGTCCAGACACACACCGACACCGACACGGCTGAAAAAAAGCATATTAAATTTAAATCGCATTGCATTGCAACATATAGGCATATTGTCTGTCTTCGTGAATACAGAATTTATATATTTTCTAATTTAGCGCCAATGTTTTTTGTAACATTTGATAGTCTGTCGCGGACAGTAAAAAATTAATACGGCTTTATACGTGATACAAAGTATCGACAGCCGATCGATTTGTAATATATACTTTGATTCATATCGTTCAGCATGAAATTAAAAATACATCGATAAATTTAATTGTCTCGGAATATAGAAAAAAAATGAAAAAGAGATATATTTTCCATTTTCTTTCGATGTGGGACAACGCCGAGCTAACTGTGAGAACACGTCCAATCGTCAGCAAAAAAAGTATCAATTGTCGATGATGGAAAGGAGTTCGACATTCAATAACAGAATCGGAGGGTTGAAGCTAACTATCAGGACCAGCGGTGTACGTTGCAAAAAATGAACGAACCCACGTGACATGCACTTCTGCAGAGGAGCGCTTTTACAGCAGTCTGCTTTCTTCTCGCCTATCGTTCGTACAAAAGCTGCGGATGGAGAAGTTTCGACTTAAAAGTGGCGCCAAACAATTTTCACAACGTATAGCTTAAAGTACACAGATGGAGAAAGAGAGGACTTTATGAGAAACGTTCTCGATGACCTCGAATCCAATTACGAAATTCTTTCATGGCCGCGACCTACTTACTTAATGTTTTATGTCAAGGTTATTAACAGAAAATTCTTATCAAAATAGGAATTTATTGAACATCCTTCATCCGATTGAAAAATGCGTTATTCATTTATTGTAATTTAGTTTGTAGCATAACAACGCCACGAAGGAGAAATAGCAGTATTGTGCGCGTAAAAGAATAAAATCGAAAATACATATCAGATTAAAATTTAAACTGTTTACATTTATACAGGATGTTCCATTTCTGATGTACAACAGAATATATATGGACTTAGCCTTTTCTTGATAAAATTATTGAAGAAAGTATCTTTCTTATCATAAAATTTTCTAATTTTTTATATACTTACATAGATAAACTTTAAATAAGAATTCCATTATATTTTATATAAAAGAATTATGGATATTATGGATTGTTGTTCATTTTGCTTTTTAAAATTTAATTTGTAAAAGAATTTTTCTTATTTTTTTATACACTGATATTTTTGCTGAGAAAAATAAATTTCGATTTAGTCAAAAAAAATTTGTTGCCAAAAAATAATGTGCGAAAAATAAAACATTGCAGCGTCGCAATTACTCACATTAAAATCAGTTTTAATTTTATTTAAAAGAATGCGTATTTCAAGCAGGTACCTGAAATTACTTCACTTGACATAAATTTTCCACTCGATTGGCACCATTTGCATTAAAATGTGCATAAATTTTCATTCCATAAAGGATTTAATTCATCCAATAATTCGTATGATTCCTCGTGATTTTCACTCATTTATTTTCTCGTATTTCCGTTACGCGATGTCTTTAATTATTATAGCATTTTTTATTATTTCAGGAATTTCATGAAACATTATCTCTCAAAAGTATATTTATCGATAATAATAGAAAGTGATATGATTTAATAATATTCCTACTTTGTAATAAATCTACCGACATTAAGGAAAAAAATCTTCATAATGACATATGAAACGTAGATATATTTAAACAAAGGCATGAATATATTCTGTGAGCTAGTTTGTACTTGAATTACAGCAAAATGTTAATTATACGTTTTAAAAAATAAAGAATGCAATGAATATGTCCGGAAGATAATTTATACGGAGCAGCGATAGTCGAAAAGTTAGCGAAATTAACAGACGAAAGTGTCGCGTAGTACTCGTTTATTCTATTACGTAAATTGGTCATTTAAGAAGAAGTCTTTCTTTACAGATTATCCGCTTTAATGGAATAAGAAACTTTTTAAAGTATCAAAAATCTAAGAAAAATCTAAGAACGTAAATCTTTAACTTTTAATTTAATATTAACTTTCTTTTGAGCATTATTCTATACTATACTGTTCTATACGGTTTAGTTAGCTAATTAAATTAATATTTTATTACGCACACATTGTAATTAATTATTACAATGTGTTTGCTGCTACAGATTTTCTAGACTAGCACGTACCTCTCAAATAAATTTATCTAGAAAGAATCGCCATTTCCGTCGATGCATCACAAGAAACTAGAATCCTTCGTCGCTTTTGTCCTTATTGATATAAATTGCAAGAAAATACATGCCACGTAAGATCGACGAAGAATATAGTAGCTAAATCAAAAAGGACGTGGACCTTTTGAATGTGCTAAAAAAGGTCCCGAATCAATATATCCGTTTGTTCCTTCTAAATATACTTCATCGTAAGCCTTTATATAGCAAGATGAACGAAAAGTGCATCTATTCAACCTTTGATTTATCCTATACGCTTTTGTGACCTTTACTTATTGGATTCGTGCACGTAGCATTAATGTTTTAAAATCAGAAAGAAAATCAAAAGTTATTTTAAATTAATTTCTTTCAGTGGAATAATACTGCCGAGCACACTGCGTGTGTGTGTGTGTGTGTGTGTGTGTGTGTGTACGATATTCTCATCGCGATAGTACAGTAACAGATATTTGTTATTTTTAGAGAACGTTGCAATAAATATTTCAATAATTTACATTCAAAATACGCAATAATGCCTATAGTTTCAGTTAAGCCGATCACGTTCTTATAAAAATTTGCATAAAGAGTTTTGGATTTCGTGTTACCGACGCATATTAATTGACGTTATTAATGTACGAATTAATATGGCCACGACACGGAGCTCGCCCATTACGTAAAAATAGTACATGTACAATATGGAAATTCTTCACGAATGGTTTCGTTACATCATGCCTCTCTATAAATTATATCGCTTTATTCTTAAAAGGTCGCCGTTAAAACCTTCTCCCTTTATACGAGTGAGAGAAGGGACGTTGTGTGAATTTGGGTCATTCCAAGACAGGGCCGACCACATATAATCCGCGACAATAGAAGAAAAAAAAAAGAAAATGATTATACATTCCACGTTTACACATGCTGTAATAATAAAAATGTCTTGAGGAAACGAATATCTACGGCGCGACGAAAAACGTTCACGCGATTTCAATTTCTTGACAGGTTTTCGCCGGGAAGAAGATTATCCTACATATACGTACACGCGTGCGTATGCGCTGCGTGTATATGTGTTCTTGAAAATCCACGATTTTCATGCCTTGTGAACATTCTATTCTAAAAAGTGTATGAAATTCACGAAAATAAAATTTCATAATAAAATTATAATATACGATGATCTTTATATCCTCTTTTTCATACACCCACATTGCGCATTCGCACTCAATTTAGCACAAGTATAAAGAGTTATGATATACATTTTTATTTTATGTAACCACATGATTTTAAAGTTCAATATACAATCAAAAATCAAAAGATAGAAATAAAAAAAAAAAAAGAAATACAAGCGATGATGTAGAAAATATTGACGAATTCGAACGAACAACATTGTACATTTTATCGGAGCATTTCTGTGCTATTCCGAGATCTGATGAGATTCTCATTTCGATGTCGGTGGATCAAGAGCGTGAGGCAGAACTTAATAGCGCGTTATACGCACCTGGAGAAAAGTATCCCCGAGATAACCAGGAGCGCAATAAAAGTTTGCGTGATCGCCGAAGTACGCCCGATCGTTTTCCTTTATCGCGAAACATTTGAGAGGCGATTTTTACGGTACGATCATCAGAGATGCGCGCACGCCTACCTTTAAATTCTACGAATTGGAACGCGGAATGTTATGTTACACAACAGATATGCGTACGCTGGAATTGTCTCTTCTGGGGCGATATTCCCCGCGACGGGAATTCGACTTCGAGTCCGCCGGCGCGCATTAGTCATTCTGGTGGAACAGAATAATTCCACGATATCCCATTGCCAGGTTCTCTTTAATACGCAGGTGTAATATTCAATACGCGATTTAATAATACGTTTGCATTACCAATATATAATAACGCAATAATATATGTAAAATAATAAATATAAATAATAATAAATAATAATATAAACAATAATATAAATAAAACATAATATATAATAAAATAAAAAAAAAAACAATAAA